GGAACAGCAGGTCAATATGTATTAATTAGGAAGAAGTTATAGGAACAAACATGTGAATACATGTGTGGGACATGTATTGCTATATTAGGTTTATCTCGAGGATAGACTAGACCTATATAGGTTAGTAAGTTCTAAGGCAGGTTGCAAAAGCCAATGTGGGGTGATACTAATATCTACTTAGTTTAGTAAGAAAACTCTCCAGGTTAGAGGGCTGATAGAGGTAGTTAGAACCAGATAGTTTAAATGGGTACCCTCTAGTTGGGATGCAGGTACGGCAGATAGTATAGAATCTTGGGTGGACTACTTAAATTAGACACTCAAAAGTGTATATGTGACTTGATGTACCATTGTTGTAATTATATATAAAATTCCGTCTATATTCTAATAAAAAGTTCCCCAGGCCAATGAAGGTCACCTTAATATTAAAAAAAAAAAAAAGTATTAAAAATAAGCAAGAAAGATCTCTAGTTTTATTTTAATTTGATTTCATTATGATCTGTGACAATTATTAATAATTTAAAAAGTTTTATTAATATCTATTTATATATATATATATATCATATAATTTTATAAAATATAGTAAATTATTAGTATGCTTGTTTTAATCATACCTTTTTAATTCAAACTATTAACTCCTCAATACACAATACTATTATTAATACCAATCTTAATCTTTCTTCTTATTATCTAAACAACTTTATATATACTATCTCTTTATATTTTGCTTTCAATCTTCTAATTATATTCTTTTTTATTTAATTTTACACTTAAAGGTCTTATATCTATATCTTTAATTGAAGATCTGCCACTCAACAGGTGCATGATCTTAGTAAAATGTGACTCAGATTACTATATAAATTTACTATAGTGCGAATGTGGCAATTGCACAAAATAAACTTTTTTTATACTAAGGTAATCATCTTTCTTGCTTAAGAGACTTTTGTAAAGCTTGTCAAGACGCATCTAATGGTGGTTAAAGCATCAAAATCGACCTGGTGGGTACTGAGATATCTTTAAAAAACTGTTCTTTTACTATGTAAACTTTTTTGCAAACAATAGTATTGTTTGCAAAGAAGTTTATATAGTAAAAAAACAGTTTTTCAAAGATATCTCGGCACCCACCAGGTCGATTTTGACACTTTAACCACCATTAGATGCGTCTTGACAAGCTTTACAAAAGTCTCTTAAGCAAGAAAGATAATTACCTTAGTACGAAAAAAAGTTTACCTTGTGCAATTGCCACATTCGCACTATAGTAAATTTATATAGTAATTTGAATCACATTTTACTAAGATCATGCATCTGTTGAGTGGTGGATCTTCAATTAATTCAATCTCTAGACCTATTTGAAATCTCATACTCTAATACTTTTCAACTTATTATTTAGCTATTTCTTAAAATCTCTAATCTACTTTATAGCAATATCTGAATTTTATACTATACCAATTTCTCTAACTAGAAAAAATCTTGCCAAATTTCTTTCTATTCTAATTATAATACTCTATTTCAATCTTCTTTATAGTCAACTAACAAAAAAAACAAAATTAACTATATTTATAGTTGTCCTTGTAGCTCTGCTAACCAATTATACTCTAAATTTAATACTTGTCCTTCTTTAGAACAAACTACTCTTAAAATTAATATTTGGTTTACTATATAAATCAAATATAGCATACTTATTAATCATATTCTAACAATTCAACTTAGATAAGTCTTGTCACTCTAGTAGGCTTAGGTTGTAGATAATTAATTTGAGCTTTTAGTTTAAGCTTTTAGTCCAAGCTTTTATTCTTGTATATAATTTATATTTATTTGTTATTATATAAATTAAGTTTTTATATAGTTGATATATAATTACTTATATAAATTAATCAATAAAGATATAAGCAAGACTTTACTTTAATATTAAAAAAATAATAATAATAAAATAAAATTTAGTAAAAATTAATTGCATTATATATATATAAACTCTAGTTAATTATTTTAAAAAATAATTATCTTTATTTTTTTTTTAATATTAAAGATGAGACCATGCTCTTATAAAAAATAATTATTTTTTATTATCTAAATATTTATATAATTAGTATTTGTAAAAATTATTTAAATGTTATTATAAATTATTAATATATAAAATAGAATTAAACAGAGGTGTAATAACTTAGTATAGTGGTCTAGTTGTTACTATCTTCAAGTAGCAGATCCAGAGTCCAAATTTCATAGACAACAATTTTAAAAAATAGGTCTGCATTATAGTTGACAGTTATGATTATTAGTTAAATCTAAAAAAATCTGTAATCTTAGTTACACTATCTGGTAATAGAAGCTTTGGTGCAATAAATCTAAAAAACTAAAATAACCAAAAACCTATTTGAGAAGTTTTAAGTAAAAAGATAGCAATAATTTTAGTAGTGCTACAGGATAGCTAAATTTAAACTAAGGTTTGATATTAAAGAACTAACAACCAAATCTTAAGTAGAAGATATACTAGCCAAACTGCAGGTGATGCACTGGAGAAAAAAACACATGTTTTAAAAATATGAACTAAGAAAAGAGTAACTATAAAGCAACATGTCTAGCATTGCTACCAAAATCAATTACATAATTGCTTTTTAAATTTTAATTTGTGTACAAAAATAATAAAATCATGAAGTTACAAGATCTTTGTAAAAATAATTAAAGTTTTTTTTATATTTTTTAGCTTATTAGAATTTATTTAATTATTATAAATAATTATACTCAATTCAAATATACAAAATGCATTTATATCCAAGTTCAAGTTTTAATTAATACATATGTAAAGCTTCAAATTTAAATTTTTTATGCTACTAATAAAAAATATTTTGTAATATCTACTTCAAGTTTTCAGAAGTTTTTTTGCTTTTCAAAATCTTTAATACCATTTTTTGAATAGGTTTAAAGTTTGATTTAATATATCAAAGCTATTTTTTTTGTTTAGAAAGATTATTGAACTTTTTGAATATCTAAAACATAAAATTAATAAATAAATTTATTTAAATATAAAAAATATAATAAAAAAATCTTTTATACCTTATAAAGAATTTTTTTTAATTTTTAGATTCAGATTCACTATTCTTTGAATTTATCAGATCAATAGTTAAATAAACTTGTATAATTGATTAAGATTCATACTTGAACATTTTCTTATAAAGTTTTTTTAGTTTCTATACTAAGAAGATATTAAGAATTGCATTATATCTAAATTAATATAATATTTGATTTAGAAATTTTAAACTATAATATAATAACAATAAACTTGCAAAAGTTTATTTATGCTATTACTGAAATATTTACAAATATTTCAAGATCCATATATATATTGCTTTCTCTTTTAATATTTATAAGTTTTTTATTGACTATATATTTAAGTATTTTAGATTTTATAGCATTTTCTTTTTGTATACAAATATTATTTAAAATTTGTTCTTCATGTTCCTATTTTTTGTTTTTATTTACACAAATTGTACACTTTAAAAATATAATTTTTTACTATTTTGAAATATAGTTATTAGTTTTGTAATTCTATATAAACAAAGTTGTACAGTATGTATTATTTTAGGAAATATTGTATTATGATATTCAAAGAAATAAAAATTTGGCATTATTATTTTTATATATGTTATTAATCAAATACAGTAGCATCATTGAATATTCTATAGAATAAGTAGCCAATATAAAAAATAAACTTTAATAATAATTAGTAAATATTAATTAACTATAATCATTTAATAATTCAAATAAATTACCAGGGTGAGTACGAAGTTTAATTCAATTCACTTTAATGATTGTGTTTCAAGATATTGATTAACCATAATCATTCAATTGTTCAATTGTTCAATAAATTACAAAGGTGTGTATGAAGTTTAATTTGATTCACTTTAACGATTGTGCTTCAAGAGAATGTGTAATTATCCATAATCATTTAATCATTCAAATAAATTACCAGGGTGAGTATAAGTTTAATTTTATTCACTTTAATGAATATGTTTCAAGACACTGATTACCCATAATTATTCAATCATTCAAAAAAATTACCAGGGTAATTGCAAAGTTTAGTTTGATTTTCTTTAACAATTGCGTTTCAAGACATTGATTTTTTTTGTTGTTAAGGTGAGGCCTTGCTCGTATCTTTATTGAGTAATTTATATAAGTGATTATATAAAGACTACATAACTACTTAATTTGTATACAAACAAAAGAATATAAATTATATTCAAGAATGGGAGCTCAGACTAAAAGCTCAACTAAAACTCAACCGTGTTTCAAGACATTAATTAGCAATAATCATGCAATCATTCAAATAAATTACCAGGGTAAGTATAAGTTTAATTCAGTTCACTTTAATGAATGTGTTTTAAGATATTAATTAACCATAATCATTTAATCATTAAATAAAGTACCAGGGTGAGTGCAAAATTTAATTCGATTCGCTTTAACGATTGTGGTTCAAGAAATAGATTAACCGCAATCATTCAATAGTTCAAATAAATTACTAGGGTGAGAACGAAGTTTAGTTCAATTTGCTTTAACAATTGTATTTCAAGACATTAATTAACTGTAATTATTCAATCGTTCAAATAAATTACAAGGGTGAGTACGAAGTTTAATTGATTTGCTTTAATAATTGTGCTTCAAAACATTGATTAATCAATCATTTAAATAAATTACCAGGGTGAAATAAATTAAATTTGATTCGCTTTAACATTTGTGTTTCAATAGAATGTGTGATTAACCATAATCATTTAATTGGGAGTTTACAAGTAAGCCAGAAAGTATCATAGTAAAATGTGACTCAGATTACTATATAAATTTACTATGAGTGAGGGTCTTTCATTATTTAATGCTATGGCTTATTTGTTAGGCACAGTGAACACTTAGGTCTTTATCGAACTGGCTTTGTTTTTTGGAGCATTAATGTGAGATCATTTAGTGTCTATAATATTGATTGATTAAAGGAAATGTGAGTTTTAAAATAAGAAAGCTTACAGCATTTTACCTTTGTGAGCATTTATTTTTTCTTTTGATTCTGAATGATGATCTATACTAATTCTTTTTTTTTTTTTTAATGTTTCATGAGCATACCTTTAAAATATGTATTTGTATATATGCTTTCAATTAACCAGTTTGATTATTTTCTATGTTGTTAACTACAATTTTGGTTATTCTGGTCAGTTTAATATTTCAATTCTTTCTTGCTAATTGTCAGCTTAATATATATTTTTTTTTATAGGGCTCAATAAGCCTCAGCATTAATATGCAACATTTTTTGTTCTTGTGTTGTAACTGCAAATGTACAAATAGATTCTCCGTTACTTAATGTTTCTCAACCAACACAATTCGTGAGTATAAAGAATATTTATTAATCGATTATTTAACTTAAGCTACCAAGTTCCTAGTGTTAACTCTTACATTATATCTATTTACTTTCATTTAGTTTATATCAAATATTTGAAGTAGCAACTAGTTTTTCTGTAATGGCAATCACCAGTTTTTTAAGTACTGAAAATAATTTATATATCTTAAATCATTGCTAATATTATATGTAAAACCTCATTTAATAAACCATAAAATTTTGCTTTTAAGATTGGGCTGGGAGTGTATAGTTTTTTTTTTAAATTTAACACCTGCTTGCTTAAAAAAAGTGAATATTTTTATAGGGTATAATTTTGTCCATCCAGAGTGGCCAGTAAGTTTTGTAACAGAATTTTTTTATAGCAACTTATAACAGAAATTACGATACTAACTAACTTACTAGAATAGCAATTTTACGTAACTCATGGTTAAAGTTACAATAATTCTGATGCGAAATTAACCCGACCTTAACTACATACTATACCTCACTGGGATAGTGAATTCTTTAACAGAATATTTTCAGCAACTCATGATGAAAATTATGATAATTCCGATACAAACTCACAAATTTTTGATTACTGGAATGGCGAGTGAGTTTTGTAATTGAATTTCTTGTAGCAATTCATAAAATTATGATAATTCCAATAACAAGTTTTACCTTAGCTCATAGTAGAAGTCATTATAATAATGATACAAACCAACTCAATCTTATCTACATACTATATCTGAATAGCAAATCCTAAAACAAATAGGATATTTTACAGAAACTCTTGATAGAATTACGATAATTCCAATACAAATTTAACCAGTGTCGCGGGTTAATCTGTAACTTTCGTCAAAGAATGACCTAGTCCAAACGGCGAGCACTTGATTGCTTCGCTATACCCGATTTCAATGTTTATATTAAGGCAAGTACTTTTACTTATTACTCAAATTAATTAAGAGTGATACTAATACTAACTAACTTATCCTACTATTACATTCACTTTGCTCCTAAATACATACTTTGGGTTACATTACTTACATTATAATTCGTTCATATACGATCATACGATCATTTGACTCTTATATTACTACTAAATTACCTCATCTTTCATGCATACTGATTACCTTACTTTGATTGCATAACTAATCATTACTCTATTCCTTTAATCCTGATCAATCACCTACTTGTCATATGCATCACATGCACAAGACAACGATCGTTTGTTCATTTTATCTTCATTCTCATACAAGTTTACCGCATACTGTATGTCACCATTACACAAGCTAGAGCCCCAGGAACTTTGTCCTCGGAGTTTCTAGCACCTGCAAGCTCTATTTTCCAACATAATTTGCACAACTAAACCCCATATTCTCATAATTCACCACAAGTTCTCCAGCAAGACCCTTCCATCATCGAATATTCATCTAATTCGGCTTTTGAGTAAGTGTTTTCTCTTCTTTCTCTTTCTTTGAGCTTATTACATTGTTCTTAATTGTTTCACTTATCCTTGTTTTCCCCCTACCATCTACATAATCGTTCTTTCCACGTTTCATTTTTTCATCATCGACATTAGTGATGCCACCAAAATTGATTTTCAAAAAAGGCCTATTTCGTCTCCAATAGAGCAAATTAAAATTTTTTATAAGAAAGAGCAAATAAAATTTATATATTTATACTCCTTATAATTTCGTCTATTCAAAAAAAGTATCAAAAAATTTCGTCTTTTAAGTAAAAATAGGTCAAAAACAATTTCGTCTTCAAATTTTAATTTCGGGTTTTTAAGCCCGAAATAATTTCGTCGGCATGTATAATCAACATCGTTATTTTTCTCTTTTAACTGCTTGCTCTTCTTTTCATTATGCTCCATCATATCTGCTTTATTCTTTACATACATCCTATCCTTTTATTCCCTTTGGTTTCCATCACCGATTCACAATCATGAGCAAGATATTCATCACGGCAAAACTCTTCATTATGGAATTCAAATTTTTGTGACAGTATTTATTTTTCCTATTTTTATTACATATTTCTTTGACATTTCCCATTTTACTTCTAACGATTTCAGCTCTATCACCTGTAGCTTTATCCCCATTATCATTATTTTCGACTCCAACTTCATTACGATGTACGTCAGATATTGGATCTCTACTTTTAATTAATTTTCCCCGGTCAAATACTGATCTATTTTTATCTTCTAATTTAGGTTTTACAAGCGATTCTTCACCTTCGACGTGCTCCGAATTCAGCTCAAGCATTTCCATATTACCAGTATTTTGGTAACAGATGAGTGCCTTATTTTCATCTCTTTTAATTTCATTCTTTTTGTCATAACAATGTCCAGTACTACACAATTCACTAACGTCGTCTTCATCAATATTTGTCAAGCTAACTTTCACTTTCTCTTCTCTTATTTTCACAACCCTCCTTTTCATCACTTGCTTTAAGCATCTTTTCCTCTGCATCTTTTATCTCTTTCACCAAATCGTCACAGCCCACATTATCCTCGAAAAATTCGAATAAATTTATCTCACGATTTGGTGCATCAAACTTCAGATTTTCGTCGAATACCTTATTTCCATTATCACCGACATCTTCCTCCTTCTCTGCACTTTCATTCTCGTACTACCATATTAAGTTCATTTCTTGGACTGCTATTATAGTCAGTTGCAAGATTACTGATAATTTGCCCAGGTTCTCATGTCACGGGTTAATCTATGACTTTCGTCACAGAATAACCTAGTCCAAACGGCGAGCACTTGGTCACTTTGCAATGATCGATTTTCAGTTTATATTAAGGCAAGTACTTTTACTTATTACTCAAATGAAGTTTATTAATTAAGAGCGATACTAATACCAACTAACTTATCCTACTATTATATTCACTTTGCTCCTAAATACATACTTTGGGTCACATTACTTACATCATAATTCGTTCATATATGATCATGCGATCGTTTGACTCTTATATTACTATTAAATTACCTCATCTTTCATACATACTGATTACCTTACTTCGATTGCATAATTGATTGTTACTCGATCCCTTAATTCTGATCGATCACCTACTTGTCACGTGCATCACGTGCACAAGACAACGATCGTTCGTTCATTTTACCTTCATTCTCATACAAGTTTACCACATGCTGTATGTCACTATGACACCAGCCACATTTTTTGATTACCGGAATGATGAGTAAGTTTTATAACAGAACTTCTTATAGCAACTCATAAGAGAAACTATGACAATTCCAATACAAACTCGACCCTAACTACAAACTATTGTTGCTGGAATAGCAAATAAGTTTTACTTTAGCTCATGGTAGGAGTCACGATAATTCCGACGCAAACTAACTTGATTATCAGAATAACAAGTTTCATAACAGAATTTTTACAGTAATGAACAAAAATGGAGCATGAACAAAATGCTAGTGTATATTTTAAAATAAGCTATTCAAGTTCATGAGTATTTGTTATTTAACCTATTTTCTTTAATTTAGCCCATGAGTGTAAAGAATGCTTATTAATCTAAATATTTAGTTTACTAAGCAATTTTAAAATGATATTCAACACGCTATCGGTGTTCAACACCATAGTTCTAAATAAGAATAATCAAAACCCAAAACTAGTGGTCATACCTGGTTAACTTTTTACCAGAAAGGTTATAATTAGGGTTCTGCAAGTATACATGCCGGGCACAATTGGCATTATGCCAGGCACTGTTGGCACTATGCCGGGCAGAAATACTAGTGCCCAAGTGTTTGTAAGTTGAATTTTAAAAATATCAAATACAGTCTTTGTCAGTTATGAAAAATAACTCATTTGCACAGGTATATATATTTTATATATACCCATGCGAATAAGCTTTCAAAAAAAAAGCACGGGTTGTTACATAAGACCCGTACAATACTTATTTTTACTCACATTAGGTTTATTCACTTAATTAAAGTATTCATTTCATCCAAATTAATTTAAGAAAATTCTAATTTGTTAAATTCATGAATGCATATTCTTGAACAACTTCATTAACTTCGTTTGTTTACACCAATTAAATAAATATGGCACTGTGCACTTTATACATGGCACTGTGCCCGGCATCTCGTGCCTATGCTTTAATAATGCCTGGCATTTTTATGCCATGCTTTTAATAGTGCCTAGCACTTATGTGCCTATAAATATAGATACAAACAGGGGCATTTTTGTATTTTATAATAATGTCTAGCATTTTTATGCCTATAGATACAGGCATGGCATAAGGCACTAGTTCCTGGCATGGTGCCAATATGCCTGGCATAGGCATTTGCAGAACCTTAATAGTCTTGACTTTTGCTTATAGTAGTGGTTTATAGATTTTAATTGAAGGCTAAAAGCAATTCTTCTCTTTGGATTTAAGGCTATCAGGGCTTTTAGTCTTTGATTCAATCGTTAAGATTCTTAATGATCATCACATGAGTCATGACATTAAGATTCTTAGCAATCATCACATGAATCACAACATTAAGATTCTTAACGATTGTCACATGAGTTATGAGTTAAGATTCTTAACGATCATCATGTAAGTCACAGGATTAAGATTGATTTACGAAATCAATTGTTAACTAACAATGATGTGGATTAGAGTTTTAATCACTTGTATTTTATTATAAAAGGGGTTTTTTGGGTTTTTAATCAACTCTCTCTTTCTCTTTCTAACTTAAAATCAAGTATGGATGAAATCACAGAGACAAGAGAACACAAATTCGGCTTGTGTTGATATCGTTTTAGGGAACCTAGAGACACTTCTACTCGAATTTTGAATGTTGAGACTCTTAACAGTTTATCAATTATAACTAGATCAAGGTATAAACCATTTGTATGAGTAATAGGAAGATAAGTATAAAACTACTGGAGTACTTCTACTGTTATTATTTTGAAGTATTACTCAACTGAGTTCTGCTTTATTTTCAACGCGAAGGGTCTTCACTTTTATACTTTTACAGGACTATTTTAATACAGGTTTTCAAGAGTAGAATTTAACTGCGAAAGCTAATAACACGAATATAGTGAGAAAATTAGATATAGTGACTATATTCGAAAAGGGTGCTAAAGTTACTAAAGCTATTATCTCAAACATAATAGCTAAATTTAATAACATAACTAAAGCTACGAAGGTGAATAAGTCTAATTATATGGACTTATCATTCAAGTCCTATACTCTAAATTAAGTATACTAATTCTATATATATAATAATAATAATAATAGTAATAATAATAATATAACAAAAATAAAATAAAAAAAGTTACAGAGACCCTTTACAACGGATACATGGTACAATACGCATATAATTCATCGATCTATTATAATAATATCAGATATTTAAATATGAGACGTAATGCAAAAAATAAATAGCAAAGTCATGCAGACCAATCAGATCTAAGACTTTGCAGATGGATCAACTTAACTCGCCATAAAACCATACGCTCGTTCCTGGTATTGCGTCATGCGTTATACAAAAAAAATCATTATACTTAGTGATGTGCCATGTATAGTACTATACGTACTGTACATACTATATGCTAAAATTTTTGCCGATCACTTGTTCCATCCAATCAGATGCCAGAAAAGAACTATACATACAGTACGTACTATACATACTGTATGCTAAAATTTTTTAGGTATTATATAAATAGCACATTACTATTCATACTTTTTTTAATTAATATACTCATAAGAATCAAGATTTTGTATACAAACTTCATAGAACTATATACTACATTCCTGGTATACTGTACTGTGCGTTAACAGAATAGCAAGTTCTGTAAGGTAAGTATTTATTATAAAGTATATAGCAGAATTTATAATAATTTCAATATAAACTAACTTAACCATAACTATATACTATGTGTTACTGAAGTAGTGAGTATATTCTATAACAGAATTTTTATGATAACTCGTAATAAAAAGGAGTATATAATAAACCATAACTTATTAGATAAGTATAGTATAGTGTGGTATATATTATATATAGTAGATATACAATATATATAGTTTTTAAGTTTAAATTATATGGTATGTAGTATTTTTTTAGAATTTATTTACATGATGTATAATTTTAATACATAGTATTATACATTAAGTATAATTAAAATTTATTTAGTAATTATAAGCAAATTCATCTAGCGAATATAAAACTTTGAACCTAATTTTTTGAACTAATTTAATATCAATTTTGTATTGGCACTTCTAATCAGAGATGTCACTATCGTATTAATTATGCGATTATACAGAATTGATCAGATTATATTTAATTTATTAATGTATTTTAATATAATAAGGTAATTAATTAATAAGAGAATGAGGCAATGCAAAGGACTGTAATTATTTACCAATTCGGAAGCAATTTATTTGTATTAATGAATAATTGAAATTTTGATTGAGTTGGTTCAAACTAGTATTTGGGTTAATTAGAAAAAGGTATTATCTAGCTTAGTTTATAGAGCTTCGCATTTGAACTTTAAGTTATGCGGATATTCAATTAAAATACTTTTACTTTATTTAAATAATATAATTTACTAAAATTTAGGTATTTATTCATAGTGACAAAATGTTATACTATCTATCTGAAGTTGCAACTTTAGATATATTAAGTTGCATCTAACCAGAATTATATGTATGAAGATCTAATTTCATGGGCTTAATTTTAGTCAGGTCAACTTTATATATCTAAAGTTGCAAATTCAGATATTTGGTAACTTTAGATACGACAAAAGACTATTTTATTATTTATTCATTTAGAAAATCAATGTTGTTTACTTATATTCATATTTTACTAACCACTTTTATGTATATTATAGTCAATTATTATACCTACACTTCTTTAACTCAGTTCCAACTTATGATTATCTATTCTGACACATGTACTAAAGGACCTGATTTTTTATAGTGGAATTATAATAATTCAATTTATACCACAAAATGTAATGAATATAAAAGTGGCACATAAATACTGCCTATTATGCTATTACTGAGCACCAATTAAATCTTGATCTATTAGATATTCAAAATATGTTAGTATTTGATTTTTACTTATGTTTACTTGGATTATTTGTTAACTATATACCTTCATTCCAGACTACCTTATTTTATAAATATATTAATTGCTAGTGCTTGGCCAAATCAAACAAAAATTTGATAGTCAAATACTTGTGATTAAGCCGGACGTTAAATGATCACATACCAACCAATACTATATATTCAGTTTTGGTTAACCTGAGATCGTTTGATGTCTGATTTAGTCTCAAGTATTTGATTGTCAAATTTTTGTTTGATTGTGCTGAGTACTATTGATTGCTAAAAATATTTTCTAGCCATATCAGGTGATATTTCAACGCAAGCTGCTAAAATAGGATAAATTGGATCTGCACTTGTTTGTACAAATTCACGATTTCGTTTTAGATAGCCTTTTATGAATAAAAATACTGTTTCAATTAGATTGAAATCAGGCGAATAAGATGAAAGAAACAAGATTTGTGCACCAATAGCATTAACTATATCAATTAATAATTCATTATTATGAATTTGAGTATTATCTAAGACCAAGACACTGTTTCTTTCTGGATATGATTGCATTTGCAGAATCTTAAATTGTAACTAAATTAATATTTATAATTTGCAATATCAATATGTAATAGATATTTCACGAGCTGTTGTGAATATGATGAA